CAATATTACATACTTCCAAAGGAACATCTTGCATAGCGACCCATACGTTAACCTTTCTTTTACCTTCAAATCCAATTAGTATATCTAATTCATCAACCTACTAATCAGTCAACTCCTCTATTTTCTGCCAGCATTGGTGAAGTCCACCACACTTGGAAACTGAAGCACAATCTGTAGCCAATGCCAAGGATGTAACACCCCAAATTATGAGTTAGTAGTTTCAAGTTACCCAAGACGTAAGTGGACCCTGTGAATTTTATATTTTAAGTCACTGGGCTTAATTGAGTTGGAATTGAGCCCAATTAGGCATCAATAGAAGATTTTTGAATTTCAGAAAGATAAGGAATAACCTATAGTGCAGTTTTCCCATTTTAGAAAGATGGAGACTCTATATATCTTTCATCTCCATCTTCTCTTCATTTTCTTCTTTCTCATTTTCTCTTTCTCTCATTTTTCTCTCTAAGACCCATAGCAAAAAGGTATGATCTTGAATCCTTTTATGCTTCAAATTCATCCATAATCCATCCATTAAACTTATATTAATGTTTCAAAGCCTTGGGTTCGTTGGGTGTAAGAAAATTTGAGGATTTTATCATCCAAGCCTAGAGTAGAGTGATTGCTAGCTAAAGGAGCTCTATTTCGGGATTCAAACATCAAGGTAGTGTATTTCTAATCCTTTGTAGTATTAAGCTTTCATAAATTTCAAGAATTTAAATTATGTTTAAAACTATGATGTCATAAAACTAGCCTTTATGTGACACTCGGGAAATAGCCAAGATACACGAGTTACTTTAGCAGTAGGGCGATTATATTGTTTATTAGTATGTTCAGATATATACCAGTCAGTGCCAAGGCACTTCAGATGCCAGTTGGGCGTATATGCCTCAAGACTCGACGGAGTAAGTTGACGGGGTGTACGTTTCCGATGCAACTTCGGATCTCACCCCATATACCCAAGGGGCTGGGTGTACGTCTCCGATGCTGTTTTAGATCTCACCCATGTACCAAGGGTATTTCGACAAGCTAGAGGAGTGGTGGGCTCCAAGATGTAAAACCTTCAGTCGCACTATGATGCCAACCACAGTTTGTGTGTTGCATAGTAGTATCAGCTTCGCATTCATTAATGCATAGTGGAGTCAATATTGTATTCAGATAATGCATAACATAGTCAGTATTGCATTTAGATAATGCATAGTATAGTTAGTGTAACATTCAGATAATGCACAGGAGTGTGTATCGTATTTAAACAATGTGAAACAAATACAGTCAGTAGGGTTAAAGGCCCTTTAGAGGTGTACTCATGGCTTAGCCCTTAACAGAGGATTTAGGACAACTAAGCCTTAAGTAGGTAGCACTTGATCTAGATCATGCATGTACTTACTGCTTAGTATCATATCTTCAGTATGCATGTGTTTAAGAAATTCTTATGTTGCTCTAGATTATCGATTATACTGTTGGGCTTTGTAAGCTTAGCATTTGAATGTTTTTTGTTGGTAAATCAGTAGCTTGAGCAGTTTATGGAGCACTGTCTCAACAAAATTTCTAGTATCTCCTTCATAGTACTATATCATAGCTTAGTGGACATATGTATTCATAGAACCTTACTCATGTATTCAATTTATTAAACTCAGAGTTTGTATTATTTTGGTTTTAAATTATGTTTCATGAAGCTCCGATTTTGTAAAATGTTTTATAACAATTGTTTATGCTTAATTATGATATCATCCAGTATGTTTGAAAAGAAAAATAAATAGGTTTTGAAAATCAAAGGTTGCATCGATAGCCAAATGTGGTACTTTAGGCCCATTCGGGTTTAGGGTGTTACAAAGTACTTATTTTCACATTTTGCCCTGCACCTCTCATCACGTCATCCACTATGCCTTCGTTGTACATTCCTTTATTCTACCCACCAAGCATCGTATTCTCCATTCCGTATCTGACTTTGCAATGTAACTAGGTCTCGAAGTCATTCCTGCCAGAACCTTATCGTCTTTCAGCATTCTTTCTTACCTTATCAATGGAAACATGATAATCAAAGTTTAAGGTCCACATTTTAATTTAATGAATGAAGTTAAAACTATACTTATTACCTAATCCATGTTTATGGATAAATTATTGCTTGTTCTTTATTTAATTTTGATTTTGTATGTATTTAATGGTCCACACGACTAGTGGAATCTTTTTCCTTTGTATGGGAAATTCCAGCACGAAAATCGTCACTCGTTCATGAGAAAAAGAAAGTTTCCCCATTAAAACGAATAATTAGATTCTTATTGATACACGTAAATGGCACTTAATTACACCAAAGGCTAAGAAGACAGTCAAATTTGTTGAAATAATTATAATTAAATTAAGGGAAACAATTGGGACCTTTTATTAATTAAGGGTTCAAGATTAGATTTAACTTATCACCCCTTTTATATAGCCCAGCCAATATCAGGGTCCCGAGGTCCGGTACTTAATAAGTCTTGATTATATATAGGGTTGTGTTAAATTAAATTTTAAAATTAGAATTAAAAAATAAAAATGGATTGATTATTAAAAGAACTGTAAAAATATATATTTAAATTGTTCAAAATTATTAAAAGAAAAACATGGAAAATGGAAAAAATTTCGTTATATTTTTTCAATTGATTTAATTTGAAAAAAAAACCTTAAAAGTTCAAGTGCTAAAAGAGACGATAACATCTTAATGACCGAAATGAGTATTTTTAAAATTTAAAGGCAAAAAATATGATTAGGGCAAAGAAGTGGGTAGATGTGATTAGTATATGGACAGCGATGTGTAGTCAATCCTTTTGGTTTTGGAGGACAACCAAGTAAGGTTGTGAGTGTTTCCAAACGTATGTTTTGTTATATCTCGATGTACAACTAGATTCTTGTTTAAGAATATTTCTTCAAAAAGACTTTTTTAAAATAAAAGTATTGTTTTCAGTTTTTTTGTTTGAGTTAATAATTAATTTTTAAATATAATTTTTATTAAAAATAAGTTGCTTGAGAATATTTTTATGTTCCGAATGAAATTTTAAATAAAAAAACTTTCGTAAGCATTTACAAATGACCCTAAGTATCAGGGACTTATTGCAGTGGATGAGGCTCATTTCGATGGTTAGCTCTTTCTGTTCTGTTTTAAACCTTCAGCTACACTTATTTGCTGGTCCATTGAGAAAAATTGATTAGGGTATAAGTGCCCTGTACTAGAAGCTGCTAGAAATTTCCACTGTCCTCCACATTTATTTTCTTGGATTACCTATTATTTAGGATGGCAACGAGCGGATGTGGACCAAATCTAGCTAGACCTAGATTTAGACTCATTTTTAAATTTTGAATCTAGACTCGCCCCGGATACGTGAATTTAAAAAATTGGGACCCAGATTCAGATTCAGTAAATCTCACGGTTCTGGGTCTAAAACGGATATGTTAATAAAAGACCATTCGACCTATTTTTTAACATATTAAAATTGTCATTGATAATTTCTCATTATATCTCTAACGGAAGAAAGATTAATTTCAATACAACTAGTAATGAAATAAAAATAATAATAAACTAATTTCTCATAAAGACTCCAACGTAATTACACAATTTCGATTATCCGATCAATATATAACAATCTCTTAAAGTAATTACAATTTAGAAAAAATGTAGGTATAAAAGTCAACCCTATAAGAACTCATGCGCTTCCCTTTATAAAATATTTATATATTTTTTAAAAACTATTACGTCATTTATATGTATTTTAAATTCAAAGATGAGCCTTTCTATAAGCTGGTAAATAAATTCAGACTTGGTATCTTAGTATCATATTCAGATCCGGGTCCGTACTTTAATTAGAGGATCCAGATCTAATTTAGATCCGTCGAGTCTAAAATTTTAAGATCCAGACTCTATAAAATAAATCTAGATTTATGTCAGGTCGAGTCCAAGATCCATTCCAATCCCTACTGTTATTCCTGCTCTACAGAACTAGCCGACTCAATTAATTAATATAATTTGATATTAGCATAATTACGATTCTTAGTAAATTATACCTACTTTTACTAAATTTGAAGTTGTGTATGTTTTTATCATTAACCTTTCTATTGTTTTTATTTTAATAACTTTTTTCCTCTTTTTCTTCTTAATCGTGGTTGATCTCTTTTCTTTTTATGATTAATAATAATATTAGTCTTGACGGTAATTGTCAATAATTGGTATTCATTATTTTTCTTTTGTTTTATTATAGTGTATATTTATCTTTTTCTTGTTTTTTTATTTTTAATAATTTTTCTTTTATGACAAATCTTCTTTTACCTTTATAACACATTTTTTGTTTTTATGATACTATTTCGGTTGTTTAGTCGTTATTTTCATTTATCTTTTTTTCATGATTGCAGTTGATATCGTCACGATTGATCAAAATGAGTCTCAGTTTGTTATCATGTTGACATTTTATGTTTTAGACTCTCAGATTGAATTTGGATATACGATTAGCGTTCGTGCATAGTATTTTCACGTCGCTCAATTCTGACTTCTAATTTGTCTGTGGTTTTTCAGTAGCTTCATCCTCTTTTGTGGTTCGTTCGTCGATACAATCATATTTGTTTATATATATATATATATTATTCGAGTTTATCTGGTTAGAGTTTTTTACATTTTCCTTGTATTGTGATCTTAAGCGGATAATTTTCTCTTTAGGAAAATATATTTATTATATGTTTAGTTTACTACTGTAGTATAAACCTTCATTATAATTTGATTATTTTTCTATTTCTAATAAAATTAACGATTTCTATAAAAATTATATTAAGTTTTATAGGGTATGAAATTATTAGTTAAAAACCACTAACTCCGTTAAAAATAAAATTCAATAACCAAATAAAATATGTCATGTCACCACTTAATTTTTATTTTTTATCTAAATAAATAAAAATCAATTAATAAAATAAAATAAATAATATACCAAAAGTGCTCCTCTTCTCTTTTTCCCAACCTCACTTTCACGGTGACACCACCCCTTTCCTAACCCCAACACCTCTATTTTCCCTTTCTCAACTATTTTCCCAATCTCTCTTTAGCTTCTTTTATAACAACAATGGAGAAAAATAATTGACTTTGAATGACAACCATGTCATATAACACCATTGAAGGCGACCTTGAACCTCCCAAGTCTGAATGATGCTCAAATTCCATTTCCTCATATGGGCAACGATTTCCAAAACCAAAGCCAATATTGAGCTTTGACGAAAAGGAACCAATGAACTACTTTGGATTCACTGCATTTTGTTTATCGAGGAATGCACTTGAGTCTGAGCCATCGATTTCCACTAAAGAGAAACTTTTGGCGTCTCAATAGTGACCACAACTGAACTCGGGGTCATTTTAAAATAGATGAGAGAACCACTTGATTCAACGAAACCCAAATCAAAATTCAACAAAAGAATCAAAAATAAAAACTGGGTTTTCAATTATTAGATTTTGGGTATTTTTTCCATATGCAAAGGCAGAGAGCAATATAACAAAAAAAACCTTTTGAAGGTATTCATGTCTTACATGCATGTTAGTATTTTGAGCAGATAAGAGTAAAAAGGGTTAGGTTTTAGTCCTTTTCCTGATCGGTTGAACTTCTCTCTGGAGTCGAGTCCGTCTCTGGAGTCAAAACATCGAGACTTAGGATCTTAAGGTTCTTACCTCTGTTGTGGGCGTTGGTGAGGTCTAGGGTGTTTCGAGGACATCTAATTTCCATGAGATTACCCCGACAATAACATGATGATGGGCCGAGTAGTTGCAACTATAAGACAAGGAAAAGCTTGAAGAATGATGATGGAGGGTATGTCAAGGTAATTGGCTCAGTTCAGACATTCCAACATGTATTGGTGTCATAGTTGGTAAGTTTTTTAGCTCTTAGGGGGAAGTGATATGGTGTTGGGTCTCTACCACCCCCTCACCCTGAGCTAACATGTGGAACTACCATGTTGTAAGCGATATTCTCCTAGGTTCATGAGGAACCTAAGTGTGCGGGCATCGGGACCATATGGATGGTACGATGTCTCTCTAAGATGATATCTAGGGACAGTTTGGGGCCAGTGGGCCCCATATCGCACTCATGGTTGAGGAGTGGGGTTGCCACCTAGTATTCGCTATGCCCCCGGGATCTCTCTTCCAAGAGTACTTGTGGCTTCAAAATTATATTACGGCGTGAGACTGATGTGTGGCTTGTTTGTTCAGACGTGATACTATGGGTTTGACTAATGAACAGAGGGATCATTCTTAGCCAATGTGACTTGGCTTTATGACGAGTTAATTTGAGGTATGCATCTATGTTGGGAAAGGCTGACTTGTCTGGGAGTTGTCCCATTCAAGTGTCGCATGACATAACAATAGGGCCGAGATGTTATGTCCATGACACTTGGTATCAGATCCAAAATGGTTCGGTTTTGGTAGATGATTTGATTTTCGACATTTCTATTTCACGCCAAGCGCTTCGACATGTTGAGTAGGCAATGTAGACAATGTTCATGCCAACCGCTTCAATGCGTGGAGTAGGATGATAATCTGACCATATGCCAAGCGCTCTAGCGTGTGTTGTGTAACATCCCAAAATAGGGTTTGTGATTAAAATAAAATTTTGAAAGCTTTGTGCTCAATTTTGAAATAAGTTAAAAGTTCAAGGACTTATTTAAAAATATTTTATGAATGATGGTTCAGTAAATATTTGATGAAATAAGAGAAATTGGTCTTTTCAAAGGAAATATTTTTATTTTTCCTTTATAAGGAATTAAACACGTGAAAATGAGGGAAAGAGAGAAAGAGAAGTCTGAAAACTTGCTTCGACTTCTTCCTCTCAATGTGAGCTCTTCATGTATAAGATGAGTTTGATTTTTAGCTTGTTTTCTTAAAATTAAAAGAATAGTTTTGATTGATGGAGTCTTAGGAAAGATTATGGGAATTTAAAAGGAGATAGAAAATTCAAGATAAGAAAGTTATGGAAGATTTAATATAAGGGGTGATTAAGTGAAATTATGGAAAGAAGTTAGTAAATGAGTTTTGAGGTTAAATTTGATTTGTCGAGAATAGAAATAAGAAATTTAAAGTGTTAAAACTGAATTAGGAACATGTTGATTATTTGGTATGATTCTTAAATTCAAGAATAATAGTTATATATGGGATGTTATGATTAGTTAAATTGAAATAAGTTAATTGGTGTAAGTGTGGTTAAGTTTAAAGGCATGAAAGAAGAGTAAAATAAAGAATTTAGTTGGGATGATGGTTGATTTTCGGGTGAAACCAGTAAATTCTGGATAGGGGTATCGGTACTGTTCATTCAGTATCAATACTTCAAAGGAAAAATAAGTGATTATTAAGGTATGAGTATAGATACTAGTTGAATGAGTATAGATACTAGTTGAACGAGTATAGATACTAGTTGAACGAGTATAGATACTAGTTGAACGAGTATAGATACTAGTTGAACGAGTATCGATACCATAAGACATAAATTTGTAAATGTTTCATAGGGAATCGATACCTGGGAAAGTAGTATCGATACCAAGAGTACCGATATCATAAGGTCAGTATCGGTACCCGTTTTGTTTTTGAAATAAGGATTTCGAATGTAAAAAAGGTTATCGATACCCAAGCTTGGTATCGATACCATAGCTAGGGAAGTATCGGTACCATGCATGGGGGTACCGATACTACTCAAAGTAGAAATTGTATTAAGCATTTTGATTAGCTTGAATTATTAAGGGTTGAATTATAACATTTAGAATGCTGATATATATAATATGTATGATTGTGTTGATATCGAACGAGAATAAAGTCCGGAAAAGTCAACAAGTAATAGTCATCGAGAAGAGATAAGAGATCGGTATTGACTAGTGAGGTCATGTAGTGCATACTAGTGACATATGATGTTTAATGGAAATAGGACTTGCAATGAGTCTATTTCCTATAGTAGTATGCATGAAGTCATGAGCATAAGCATGTGTTTGATATGAGTATATGTGTTATATGTGATTATATGTATTACATGATTTGTGTGAATAACATGATTTGTATGTATGCATGACTATATATCTTGATATGGTTTGTATGCGCTACATGATTTATGTAAAATACTATTATGTGATAATAGGAGAACATAAAATAAGTTATGTAATTATATGATTATAAGAGGCAAGCCATGTGACAAAATAATGTGATACATAAGAATGTAATTTAAGCTACGAATAAGTGATGAGTCATATAGATGTGTGTCTATGAGAAGACTTAAGAGAACAAAATATAAACCATAAGATAATAAATTATGAGACTCTATGAGAATAGTATATAAATTAGGGGACATGAACATAATGATAATACGAACCAATAGGATAAGCATTATAGGAAATATTATATACTTAAAGGAAACTATGATATAGGAGTTATAGAATGAAGAACTATAAAACCTTATGAGAAGGTTATAGAAGTTATGTGAAACTGAATTAAATAAATAGAGTAAACTAGTAATTAAATAATGTGAGATAAGTGATAAGGGTTATATATTATTGTATATGTTAGTATAATAAACCATGTAAACTGGTATAAGGGAAAATGAGATAAGATAAGTAGCATTTACCTATAGGATTCATATAAGATTATATGAATATATAGCATAAACTATACAAGAAAGACTTAGGTGTTATATGATTCAAGTATAAAAATGAACATAAGACATAGTCAGATGCAATTATTATGTGATTTGAGTATATGACATTACTATATGGTATATATAGGACGTATAAGATTATATGCATGTGTGATAACATGAAAAAGTGAACTAAGTTCAATGATATTGAACTATGTGAGTATAAGTATATGTGATATGTAACATATGCCAATGAGATATATGTAGATAAGTAATTTGATTACATGATCACAAGATATGAGATATGCCATGAGATATATAAAAGAAAGTTTATATGATAAGCTGTGTGATATATGAAAGTGAACCATATGTCTATATGAATATGAGAAATGATATGTAAGAGAATGCCCATGTTATGTGAAATGAGAGCTAGAGGTATAGTTGGTATGCCAAGAGTCAAGGGTTACATATGTCCTTCAGGACATATGGACAGGTTACCTATGTCCTTCAGGACATATGGACAGGTCATTCGGGATATAGATGACATCCTTCGAGACATGGATGACGTTTTTCGGGACATAGTTTTCACATGCCACTCAGTAGATTCTTATATGAGCTGTGGTGACATCATATGAGTGCACAATCTCAATGTACTCGCATATCTTTAGTTTTCACATGTGTACATGGGCTAATAAAAGAGATGATATAAAGGAACCTTGTATGATACTATGTGTTTTGTTTGTGATATGTGTGGTGTGAAGTTTTACCAAAACTTAAACACAAGATTATATGATTTAAAGGGGTTAATGATAATGATAATGACAATGATGTGATTAAGACATCGTTGATATATGTGCATGAATATAGTTGTAATATGAATTATTATATGATGTTGGTATTATGTTAATATTTGCAATGTGAATTGTTCATGCATAGTTAAAAATGTGAAAAGTTTTGATTATAAGTGTTATATAACTCACTAAGTCATAGACTTAGCGTGTGAATGTTTCACGCATAGGTTTCGACGAGATTATGGAGCGAAGAGGAACAAGACAGGTCAGATTCTCCTTTCTAAGGATTAGATTAGAAATGTATTCGAATATATGTATTTTGTTACATAGAATGTAGTTGGCATGTAGTTTAAAGATTTGAATTGTACAAGCTCTGATATGTTTTGTAAAACTAATTGATTTTAATTAATGTAGAATATTTATTTTCTTGAATTATGGGTTTAAATTTTATCCAATTTGTAAAGAAAAATATTTTAAAAGTCAATGTGACACATCGGACTCGAATCCGGGTCGGATATGGGTTGGGGTGTTACATTTAATGATATCAGAGCTAAAGTTTAGCCGATTCTAGGCTTAAACCAGAGTTAAATGAGTTTTAAAATGTGTACATGCCAACATAAAGTGAAAATTTCTGATGTGATAATGTAAGGAGCGTGTTGTATTGCTAATAGAATTAGATTGTTACGTTATAATATAAGTATGATAATGAGAGTTTCGAAAGAAGTGAGAGGTGATAGATCTGATGGTGGTAGCAATTCACCTGCCTTGGCCAGACAGGAAGAAGAGCGGACAACTCAGGAAATGATTTAGATAATCAA